TGTTAACTTATTCCTTCTATTCCTTCTGTGTCTAGGTAGCATGCCCTTTTGTTTGTTTGTTTGTTTTTTGAGAAGGCGTCTCGCTCTGTCACCCAGGCTGGAGTGCAGTGGTGCGATCTTGGCTCACCACAACCTCCGCCTCCCAGGTTCAAGCAATTCTCCTGCCTCAGTCTCCCAAGTAGCTGGGATTACAGGCGCCTGCCACCACATCCAGCTAATTTTTCTGTTTTTAGTAGAGACAGGGTTTCACTATGTTGGTTAGACTGGTCTCAAACTCCTGACCTTGTGATCTGCCCGCCTCGGCCTCCCAAAGTGCTGGAATTACAGGCATGAGCCACTACGCCCTGCCCTTTTGTTTTGTTTTGTTTTGTTTTGAGACAGGATCTCTCTCACCCAGACTGAAGTGCAGTGGTGTGAACCCAGATCACTGCAGCCTCAACCTCCTGGGCTCAAGCAATTCTTCCACCTCAGCCTCCCAAGTAGCTGGGACCACAGGTGTGCACCACAATGCCCAGCTATTTTTTCTAATTTTTGGTAGAGATGAGGGTCTCACCATGTTGCCCAGGCTGCTCTTGAATTCCTGGGTTCAAGAGATCCTCCTGCCTCAGCCTCCCATGGTGTTGGGATTACAGGCATGAGCCACTGTGCCCAGAGCGTTTTACTTTTTAATATATAATTTTAGTTTAATTAATTTATTAAACAGGTAATACATTCACTTGCTTAAAAATTCTGAAGTACAAAAGGGAGTAGAAGATTCTTCCTCCCATGTCACTCTCCCAAGCACCAGAATCTCTCTCCAGAGTCATCCAGTGCTCTCAATGTCTGGGGTGTATTTACAGACATCCTCTGTGCATACAGAAGCAAGCACATTGACACTGTTTCTCTCTTTTTGTATACAAATGATTGCATTTCTATACTTGGCCTATTCTATACCTGGCCTATTTCTTCTATTCCTTCATACTTGGCCTTTTTCATACAATGTATTCTGCAGTTGGTGCCAGGCTGTATTATTCTTTTTTTTTTTTTTTCTGTATGCCTTTTATGTTTGGATATATCATATGTATTTAACCAGCCCATGTTGGTGATTATTTAGGTTATTTTCAAATCTTTGCTTTATTAAACCATTGCACTGAGTAACTTATATGTAACACATATGAACAAGATATCTGTAGGAAAAATTCCTGCAAGTAGAATGCTATGGTTTGAATGTATGCGTCCCCCCAAAATTTA